CAATGAGTGCCGGCGGCGGTGGCGGTGGTAGTAGCAGCAGTAATTATGCCGGTGGAAGGCGACGTGCGCTCAGTCGACAGAGTGCCGAAGAGGAGGTGCTGGACCGTATATCACGCGATGTATGTACATTTGTTGGCATACAACGGTGCACCAAATAACGCTTTTTTTGCAGTTATTTCCTTGATTTTAATACATTTCTCTGGAAAATTTACATGATTTGAGCAAATGGAAGGTCGAAAGTTCGTTTCTTGCACAGGCACAACCAATCATCCTTTTTTTTTTGCAGGACCAAAAATTTTTATGCATTTTGTGCTGCAGCAGTGGTGATACAAACAAATATTGTCGAGACTCTGTCTGCGAATATGTATGCATATGTGTGTGCATGTGTGTATGTGTGTGTGTGTGTGTGCGCGCACATGTGTGTGTGCATATGTGGAATGAATTTTTATGCATTTTGTGCTGCAACAGTGGTGATACAAACAAATGTTGTCGAAACCCTGTCTGCGAATATGTGTGCATGTGTGTGTGTGCATACATGTGTGTGTATGTGTGCGTGCATGTGTGTGTGCGTATGTGGATTGAATTTTTATGCATTTTGTGCTACAGCAGTGATACAAATAAATGTTGTCGAGACCCTGTCTGCGTGTGTGTACATGTATCTGCCTGTGTGTATATATATATATATATGTGTGTGTGTGTATGCATGTGTGTGTGCGTATTCGGAGTGAATTTCTATGCATTTTATGTTGCAACAGTGGTGATATAAACAAATGTTATCGAGACCCTGCCTGCGAATATGCGTGCATACATGTGTGTGTGTGTGTGTACGTGTTTGCGTGTGCCTGTGTGTGCGTATATGTGACTTTTGTGCAGTCCTTTTCGATGGTAAATTCGCATCGGAGAACTGCCGCCATCAATTTCCTCCTGAGAAACTTCAAAAGAGGGTCATCAGAAGCCGTCTTACCTGACAAGTACTACCACTGGGCGGCTAATTCAGATGTCGTAGCAAATGGATCAGAAGGGAGTTTTGTTTTTTGATCTTCATAAAGCTAAGGCGAAATTTCTTGTTTTCACTGGGTAAAACTCACTTGCCATAGAAATGTAAGTATAGAAGCTTAAAAGTTACTAACTACTTCTATTGTAGCGAATGGACTTGCGGCACAAGCAATGTTATTTTTGCTTGTAGTACTTTGGTAAAGAAATACAACGTAGTTCATAAAAAAAAAAGGGAATAACAATTTGAAAATTTTGGTGAAAAATTAATTTTATGGATATTTTTTTCCAGGCCGAAGAACGCATGACCCGTAAAAGACAGGCACGTGAGGAGGCACGACAGATACGCCTGGAGCAACTTGAGAAGCAGTGCCGAGAAGTATCATTTTTATTATTTCTTACTTTTCTTTTTCCCTTGTAGCGTTATTTTGTAGTCTCTTTTTTTCCGTTAGTAATTTAGGGTTATTATTACCACCCCTTATGTACCACAACCCTGACATTCCTTCCTGGAATGACCACTTTTTGGTCAGGCATATGGTGGATTGGGAGCTGCACTGACGATTCCCACCTCAATTCACACCGCATACTTTGTCTGTGTTTGCAGCTTAGGGATGAAACACAGACAGCCAAGTTCGCATTTAGCTTCCCTACAGGTCCTCATTACATCTCTTGAACTTTTTTGTAAAAAACATATGCTTTCCACTATCTATTTCACTTCTTGATTTCGAGGTCTTTTCGTCCATTCATTCCATGGCCCCTTCTTTCC